AAGCTAAACTTACAAAATAATTTTTCATATAAGTATGATGAATAAAGTTCTCTAAGTGAAAAAAAATTATAGGGAACTGGTCTGCATGGCAATGGTGATTGTAGCTGAGCCCAGGTTCAGAAAACTTTCAGGGATGTTGTGCCACATAGGAGCCAGACCCACAGACTGGCTTTCCCATGGGGGACCAGGCCTGCATTATATGTAGGCTGCTTTGAGGCTTGGTTTTGCTAAGACTCCCTCACCCTGACTTAAGACAGCAGATGTTTAATGTATCTTTGAAGTAACTTCTGACAGACTATGCTAAGCCATGCCAAGGACAGGATGTAACCAGATCAATCACTCTTATCATTCCCTGGCCTTTGCAACATGCTTTTCTTTGTTATATGTAAGAAATAATCACTTAAAGCAACCTGAGCACAATGAATGAGGACCTTCCTTGATGTAATGCTCCCAGAAAACAATAAAAGCTTGGGTCAGTGTGCTTTCTTACTCAGAGTGACCATACTGTCCCTTTTCTCCATAGGACTTCTGCAGTTCATGTGATTTTGTTTGTTGCATCCACAATACTGAGGACACCGCTGGCTGGAGTCCACATCATCTGGTGCCCAACATGGGGCCAAAGGCTTTGCACCACATTGTGGACAATATACCAACTTGGTTGGAGTGCACACATCAACCCAGGTAAGGGCAGGCACCACCCAGTGCTCTTCAATAAGGTTGTAGGGTGTGTTGAATTTCAGAGAGAAATATATTTCTTCCAAGGTCGCCCTCTCTTGTAGCTGTTTTGCATCTGCACCCTCTTTAGTAAGCAGGAGTCTTGCTTGCTCCCAAACATTCACCACACCCAATGGGCACCCCATTTCCCTTTAATCGGCTTTGAAAACTAGTTACAAGGTCATTTACGAGTGTCTCAGCAGATTTTTTCAGGTCGCCTCTTGTGGTCCTTTTGATTTTGCCTTTTCCCTCAGCCTGCTTGCATAAGGAAAAGCAGATAGTGAATGAGTGCTATGTTTTGACCAGACTCTGAAGATCACTTTCCAGAAGAAATTAGTGTTAATCACAGGTTTTGTATGAGAACATTTGGCATTAGCCAAGCTCTGAAGATAAAAGGCACTGCCTTCCCTGGCTCGAGAAATTGGGTGTTCCCACATGAGTTGAAACCTTGCAAGGGTGTCTGGGACCAATTTCCAAGATGTGTGGGTGTCTTACAGGGACCTCCAAAATGATTTAATATAACTTCTGGTTCATCTGAGAGAGCTTAATATAAAGGTTGGTCACCTAGCACTTTGAGCCCCCCCTTGCAGTTTTAGACACTTGGGGGAAAAAGCAAGACCCATAAGCAGGGTTAAGTTACCTGGAATATCTGGCAGCCCTCCATGACTGTCTTCTACCAATAGCACATTTTTGAGCCACCACACTATATCCCCCAATAGCTAGCTAGCTGGGGTTCAGCACAGGCAGCAGAGTCAGAAAAAAATGGAAACTGAAAGTAAAAAAGGCCCTCTTATTAACATGAATGGGCTCTTGTTTATATAAAGAGCAGGAAGTCTACCTTCGCATGTTACAGCATCTCATTCAGCTTTTACAAACTATAAAGAAATACTACACTGCTTTTCCTAACAAGGGGATCTTAGATATTGAAGTTTGGGAAAGGGCAGGCGACAAGCTAAACCTTTTACAGGACAGTGGCATTTCTATCAGAGTTCAAAACTTATTCACTTGGAAACTAGTCAGGACTGCTCTCATGCCTATATGGGATGAAAAAGGAGCTAGTCAAAGAAAAGGATAAGGATTCTAATTCAGAGGAGGAAGTCACATATGATGTAGCAGGGGAGCACTGAAGTTCTCTCTGCAGCCCCACCTCAGGACCTGCCTTGTAGCTGCTGCTCCTTATCTCATCTTCGAGTGTTTCTCCTTATAGGGTGGGTCACCACCAAGAAAGCCAGAAAATTCAGACAGATAGCCTATTAGGGCTATGCGGCAGTGCCTTTGGCAGGAAGCAGAGGCTGGGGATTTAGATGCCCATTCTGACCAGTGTGAAATTGTATCTCATTGTGGTTTTAATTTGCTTCTCTCTCATGGCTAGGGATGATGACCATCCTTTCATATGTCTCTGGCCCCTCTGTATGTTCTCCTTGGAGAAGTGTCTGTTCAAGTTTTTTGCCCATTTTAAACTGGGTTGTTTGTTTTCCTGGAGTGGAGTCATGTGAATTCTATACATGTTTTGGAGATCCAGTCCTTGTCTGAGGTATCATTGGCAAATATATTTTCCCATACAGTTGGTTCCCTTTTCATTTTGCTGACATTTTCTTTAGGCATGCAGAAGCTTTTTATCTTGATGAAGTCTCATTTGTTTGTTCTTTCCGTTATTTACCTTGCTCTAGGGGACATAGTGGTTGGTTGAGGGTTTTTGTTTCTGTTTTTGTTTTGCGTATAGCTGTCCAGATCTCCCAATACCATTTGTTGAAGAGGCTATTTTTACTCCATTTTATGCTTCTGCCCTCTTTGTCAAATATTAATCGACCATAAAACTTTGGTTTATTTCTGGACTCTCTATCCTGTTCCATTGGTCTATGTGTCTTTTCTTATGCCAGTACCAGTCTGATTTGATTACAGTGGCTTGTAATACATTTTGATATCAGGCATTGTGATCCCTCCTACATTGTTCTCCTTTTTAAAAATTGCTGCAGCTATTCAGGGTCATTTATGGTTCCATATAAATTTTTGAAATGTTTGTTCTATATCTGTGAAATATGTCATTGGTACTTTAATAGGGATTGCATTGAATCTATAAATGATTTTGGGTAGTACAGACATTTTGATGATGTTAATTCTTTTGATTCATGAACACGGTACATGCCTACATCTGTGTCTTTCTTAATTTCTTTCTTCAGTGTGTGTAGTTTTCTACATACAGTTTTCACCTTCTTGGTTAGGTTTATTCTTATGTACTTTATTTCTCTTGTTGTTATACAGATGGAATTTTTTTCCTGATTTCTGTTTCTGATATTTCATTGTTGGTATACAAAAATGCCTTTGATACCTCGATATTGACTTGGTATATGGCTTTTTTTCCAAATTCATTTATTAGGTTGAGCAGATTTTTGGTGGAGTCTATAGGATTTTCTATGTACACTATCATGTCATCTGCAAACAATGACCATTTTATTTCCTTTTTTCCAATTTGTATGTCTTTTATTTCCTTTTCCTGTGTGATTGCTGTGGCTAAAACTTCCAATACTATGTTGAATAGAAGTGGTGAAAATGGACACTCTTGTCTTGTTCCTGATCTTAGTGGAAAAAATTTTACTTTTTGCCCATTGAGTTTTTGCCCATTGAGCCAACATCAGTTGGCTGTAGGTCTCTCACATATGGAATGCTGCCTCTATTCCCACTTTGCTGAATGTTTTAATCATAAATGGGTGCTGAACCTTATCAAATGCTTTTTCTGCATCTATTGATATGACCATATGATTTGTGTGTTTCCTTTTGTTTATGTGATATATTACATCTATTGATTTGCAAATATCTTACCATCCTTGCATCCCTGGGATGAATCCTACTTCATATGGTATATGATCTTTTTAATGTGTTTTTGGATGTGGTTTGCCCATATTTTGTTCAGGATTTTATTGTCCATATTCATCAGGAATATTGGCCTAAAGTTTTCTTTCCTTATTTTGTCTTTATCTGGTTTTGGGGATTAGAATGATGCTGGCTTCATAAAAAAAGTTTGGGAGTCTTCCATCTTCTTGGATTTTTTGGAATAATCTGTGAAGGATAGCAGTTAGCTCTTCCTCAAATGCTTTGTAGAATTCTCCTGGGGCATAGTACTGTCCAGGGCTTTGTGTGTCGGAAGTTTTTTTTTTTATTATTATTATTGTTTCAATTTCATGAGCTGTTATCAGTCTGTTTAGGCTTTCTGCTTCTTCTTCATTTGGTTTTAGAAGATTATATTTTTTCTAGAAATTTGTCCATTTCACCCAGGTTTCAAAATTTCTTGGCATATAGTTCTTTGTAGTAATTTCTTACAATCCTTTGTATTTCTGTGGTATCACTTGTTATCTTCCCTTTCATTTCTGATTGTGTTTATTTGGGTCCTTTCTCTCTCTTTTTTTTTTTTTCTTGCTGAGTCTGCTTAAAGGCTTGTCAATTTTGTTTATCTTTTCAAAGGACCAGCTCCTGGATTTATTGATCTTTAGAATTGTGCTTTTAGTCTCCATGTTGTTTAATTCTGCTCTGATCATGGTTATTTCCTTCCTTCTACTTGCTCTGGGATGTCTTTGTTGTTCTTTTTCAAGTTCTTGTAGATGTAGGTTTAGGTTATTTATTTGAAATGTTAGATACCAAAGAGAGATTGGTGGTTACCAGTAGGGGCTGAGGGTAGGTAAAATGGGTGAAGAAAGTCAAAAGGTACAAACTTCCAGTTATAAAGTATATAAATCTAGGGGATATAATGTACAGGATGGTAATTATAGTTAATAATACTATATTTCCTAGTTGAAAGTTTATGAGACAGTAACATCTTAAAAGTTTTTATCATAAGAAAAAATTATGTAACTAGTTATCATGACAGATGTTAACTAGACATAATGTACTAATAATTTTGTAAAATATACAAATATCAAACCATTATATTGTATTATATATTAGTACATTAGTACATTCAGTACATCTGAAATGAATACATGTTGATTATATCATTATTAAATAACAAATGAATATATATAAAACATTATTTTATATCTGACATTATAACAGCTTTATTGAAAATAAAATTTTCAACATTTGAATGTCTAAAAATATCAATCACAAAATAAATACATATTTATTTGTTTCATTTACATTCAAGATAATAATAAATAATTGCAGAAGACAAAAAGAAAAATCCAAGCAAAAAATGCATAAAGTTCATTAATAATATATAAAAATAAGGCAGATAGTAATATAAAATATTAAGCTCTAACAGCACATATTACCATCTTTGAGTATTTCCTTACCTCTGAATGTTCTTGAATTTTAGCATTTTCCTTTTGTCCACTTGGATCTGCAACTTGTGCTTTTCTTGCTTCTTTCTCCAATGGTATAGATTCTGAGTCCTCACTTACTTCTGTTTTACTTATTCTTCTTTCCATGATGGTCTCCTGGATGGTCTCCTGGATGATCTCAGTCTTCCCATCACTTTTAAGTAACTCCCTTTGGTTTAGGAAATACTTTAGTTGATGCTTAGTTTTTTCGGTTTCCTGTTTTTTTTCAAAGGAACCATTTATGAAGTATTATTTTTGTGACGTTTTCCTGCCATTATTACAACTTTTAGAAATCTGCATATATTCATACCCATATTACTTTGGAGGAGTTCAGTTAAACCACTGGTATAATAGATACTCTAATAAATCCTCAAAGTTAAAACTATGAAAATCTTCTTCCTTTTTTGAAGACAATTTTTATACCCAGGAGATTCTCGTGCTGTTATTTTTTAAAGGTTATAATTATTACACAGGTACAATAAAAGTTAATTAAAGGTATACATTATACAAAGTGCTGAATTGTAATGATGATAATTAACATCTATATAAAATAGAAATAGTTCAAACTAAATGTTTCTTAGAATAAGATTTTTTAAAAATAAGATTTTTATTTAAAATATTATTTTATATGAAAGAATATATTAATTAACAAAATAAAGTTTACAAATAATATCACAACAGAAAACTGATTTTTAACATTTGGATGTACATTATTTTTAATGATTTGTGAATATAACTAGTACACATAGGTATTTTTATACTGGATTATGCTATACATACTCACATAATATGACCTTTTTATTATATACTATCATAGATATGTTTCCATGACAGTAAATAAACATGTAAATCAGAATACCTAAGAGAATTTATTTAATAATACACTTTTATTTAGCAATTTGTTTTATTAATGAACAGGTTGGAGTTGGGTATCTGTATAGAATATGTTGCTATTAAAATCTCTCTCTCTCTCTCTCTCTCTCTCTCTATATATATATATATATATCCGTGTGAAAATCTATACACATTTTCTTTTTAACAATAAATTTTTAGAAGTGGAATTGTTCAATAAACAGGATATGTCTTTAAAAAACTAGCCATATTATTTTTCAGGAAAAAAGCAATTCATACTACTAATAAAAATATATCAATGATTTCTCTTTTCTATATATAGTCACAAATATTAGATATTTCTTCTTTTTTTAATATTAAATTTTATTTAGTTACTTTTCAAGTACATTTTTTTTTATCTATTTCTCCCATCCCACCCCGCCCCCCCTGCCCAGTCTCCCCCCTCCCTCCCATTCCCCCCCAGTCCTCATCTCTGTGTCTTTCATACTTGTTCCTCAAAATCCCTCCCCCTTTTTCCCCTTAAGTTCCCTTCCCTCTTTCTTCTTATTAAATTTTTACCAAAAGAGTAGTTTATAAAATCTATCTCATTGTTTTATTTTATTAAATTTATTGGGGTGACATTGTTTAATAAGATTATATATGTTTCAAGTGTACATATCTATGATATACTACCTGTATATTGCTTTGGTTACCCAACTCCCTAAGTCAAATAATCTTCCATCATCATATATTTTGTAATTTTTAACTGCATTTATGGAAAAGAGTGAGGCTGAATATACTGGTGTTCATTTATTGGGCATGCATGTTTCTAAATTATGAGTTCTTTGTGTTCTTTCTCTGTTTAGAAAGAGGGCTATCTATACTTCTTTTGAATTTGTAAAATAACTTCATGTAAAATACTTTGTAAATTTTTTCATTTTTATCTTTATGTGTCATTTTTATCATTAAAATGTTTTACATATATTACATATATATGCTTTACATACACAATATGAATATATTATTATTTACATATATGTGTACAATTAAAAACTATTAAAATAGTGTCAAATTACATATATATGTGAACTGTTTCACATATTTTTATTAGCAGTATTAATTGCTTTTTTCCTGAAAAAAATATAGCAAAAGTCTTTTAAAGACATATCCTTTTCATTGAACAATTCCACTTCTAAAAATGTATTGTTAAAAAGAAAATGTGTACAGATTTTTACACTATATATATAAATTTTAGCAGAAAATTATATATTATTACATTATATTATATATTATATATCATTTTATCTATATAATTTGACACTATTATGCATGTTCCCCATTTTGTCTCCTTTGCCCACCTCCACTGATCCCCAGCCCTCCTCCTCCCTTCTCCTCTAATTTTTGTAATGATAATTCCATACTGTTTTCCAAAGTGGCCATACCAGTCTGCATTCCCATTTAAAGTGCATGAGGATTCTGTTTTCTACACATCCTCGCCAACACTTTTGTTTGTTGATTTGATGGTAGCCATTCTGAGTGCAGTGAGGTGTTATATAATTGCAGTTTTTTATTCTTTCTTTAAAAATGTTAATTATGCTATTAAGTTTTCCCAATTTTCCCCTATATGCCTCCTCTGCCTTGCACCCCCCAAATTTCCAGCATTCCCCCTCCTTAGTTCATGTCCATAGGTTGTATATATAAGTTCTTTGAATTCTCTGTTTCCATTCTTAACTTCTCCCTATTTGATGCCTACCAACTATGCTTCTTCTTTCTTGTACCTTTCCTTTCCTCCCTCTCCCCACTGAAAATCCTCTATGTGATGTTCATTTCTCTGATTCTATTCCTGTTCTAGTCATTTGCTTAGTTTTTATTTTCATTGTTTTTTGTTTGTTTGTTTCAATTGTTGATAGTTGTGAGTTTGTTGTCATTTTACTGTTCATAGTTTTTGTTCTACTTTTTAGATAAGTCCCTTTAACATTTCTTATAATAATGGCTTGGTGATGATGAACTCCTTTAACTTGACCTTATCTGGGAAGCACTTTATCTGCCCTTCATTCTAAATGAAAGCTTTGCTGGATAGAGTAATCTTGGATGGAGGTCCTCGCTTTTCATGACTTCAAATACTTTTTCCCAGCCCCTTCTTACCTGTAAGGTTTCTTTTGAGAAATTAGCTGATGGCCTTATGAGCACTCCTTTGTAGGTAACTATCTCCCTCTTGCTGCTTTCAAGATTCTCTTTATCTTTAATCTTGGGTAATGTAATGATGATGTACCTTGGTGTGTTCCACTTTGGGTCCAACTTCTTTGGGACTATCTGGGCTTCCTGGAAGTCTATTTTGTTCACCAGATTGGGGAAGTTTTCCTTCATTATGTGTTCAAATAAGTCTTCAATTTCTTGCTGTTCTTCTCTTTCTGGAACCCATATAATTCGGATATTGGAATGTTTAAAGTTGTCCCAGAGGTTCCTAAGCCTCTCTTCATTTTTTGAATTCTTGTTTCTTCATTCTGTTCTGGTTGGATGTTTATTTCTTCCTTTTGTTCCAAATCATTGATTTGAGTCCTGGTTTCCTTCCGGTCACTGTTGGTTCCCTAAATATTTTACTTTATTTTCCTTTGGGTATCTTTTATTTGTTCTTCATTTTGTGACAAAGATCAATCAGTTCTGTGAGCATTTTGATTACCAATGTTTTGAACTCTCCATCGGATAGGTTGGCTATCTCTTCATTGCTTACCTCTTTTTCTGGAGTTTTGTTCTGTTCTTTCATTTGGGCCATATTTCTTTTTCTTGCCACACCCATTAAGTTGTAAGGGGGTGGGGCCTTAGGTATTCACCAAAGCAGGGCAACTCTCTTTACTGCACTGTGGCTCTGTCTGTGGGGGAGGGGTCAGAGAAGGAACAATGCAGCTCCTTTGCTTCCTCTAGCCCCACTTTCTAACTCTCCTGCGAGACTGGTAGTTTCTCTCACTATGGCAACCGGCACTATAGTCCACAGTCAGCTCTGAGTCTCAGTTTCTGGTTCAGCCAGCCTCACCCACGTGATCTGCTTCCTTGCTGTGAGTTCTCTCACCCATCCGCCTCCTCACTGCACTGCCTGGTCAGCTGCTTCATTGCCGGTTCTCTGAGCCAGCCCTGGATGCATGGATGCATGGTCTGCCACCTTGCCATGGGTTCTCTCAGTTCAGTGGACCTCACAGCATGGTCTAGTCTGCCACCTTACTGTGAGTCCTTTTAGCCAGTCCCACCCATACAGTCCACAGTCTTGCCACAGGTTCTCTCCATCCACACATCTCCTCTGTCTCCCTCATTGCCCTCCTACTGGTCTGGTTGGTCTGGTTGACTGTTTCTTTAATTCCTTGGTTGTCATAGTTCCATAGGGTTTGATTTTCTGGCACTTCTGGCTGTTTATTTTTTTAATATTAGTTGTTATCTTCCTTTTGGTTGTGCAAGAAAGTGAAGGATTTCTACCTATACCTCCATCTTGGCCAGAACTCTATGTTCTTCTATGTTCGTCAGGGATATTGGCCTATAAATTTCTCCTTTTTTTGTAATGTCTTTATCTGGCTTTTGAATTAAGATAATGCTTACCTAGTAAAATGAGCTTTGAAGTCTTATCTCCTGTTGAATTTTTGTAATACTTTAAGACAGATAGGTGTTAGTTCTTCTTTGAATATTTGGTAAATTCACCTCTGAAGCCATCCAGTCCAGGATTTTTTGTGTTGGTATTGTTATCAGTCTATTCAGGTTTTGTAATTATTTCTGATTCAATTATGGAAGATTGTGTTTTTCTAGTAATTTTTCCATTTTGTTCAGGTTGTCCATTTTTTGGCATATAGTTGTTTTCACAATATTTCGTTACAATCTTTTGTATCTCTGTGATGTCTGTTGTTTTCTTCTTCATTTCTGATTTTATTTATTGGGGTCCCCTTTCTTTTTAATTGATGTGTCTGGTGAGAGGTTCATCAATCTTGTTTATCTTTGCAAAGAACAAGCTCTTGGTGTCATTGATCTTTTGCATGGTCTTTTTTAGTCTCTGTCTTTTATTTTTGCTTTTCTCTTTATTATTTCCTTTTTTAAAACCCATCCAGGCTTTCTTTGTTATTTTTCTAGTTATTTTAGTTGTAGGGTTAGATTGTTTGAGATTGTTCTTGCTTTTTGAGGTAGACCTGTAAGGCTATGAACTTTCCTCTCAGGACTACTTTTGCTGTGTACATAGATTTTGATTTTTTTGCATGTTTATTTTCATTTATTTTTAGGCAAATTTTTATTTCTTCTTTGACCTTCTTTCTAACCCATTAATTATTTAATATTGTGCTCTTTAGCCTCAACATGTTTGAATGTTTTTCAAGTTTTTTTTTATGGTAGTTGATTTCCAGTGTCATATCATT